AATAAAGTATTACAATATTCATACATGGCTACTTTCTCTATTCAGTCAACTCACAGACCATGTTTCTTGAATTTGATATAAAAAAAAGACATTAATGATGTCTGTTATGAATTTTGCCTATTTTTCTTGTATTTTTGGTAACATTCAGGAGATGCTTTACAAGTAGAGGGAACTTTTTAATTTTAATATTTTTGGATTATTTTGTAGGACTTCATACAAACTTTCCAGCATTGTAGAAATCAATTTTATACAGCTAATAAAAAGCAAATATGTCAACATCAAATGTTAGAAATGTAGATTTCAAAATTTCAAGTTTTCAAAGTTTTCATTCAATTTTGAGCGTATACTTTATTTTGTTCTTGCTTATTTAGAACGGGTATGAAAGAGAAGGCATATCTTCACAGTGCAAGAGATGCATTTGACCAGCTTCAGTTATTTATTCATCATGTATTTCTGATGGAGATATAGACGAATGAGGGTCAAATACATCCCTTGCACTGTGAAGATATTCATTTTCATTCATAACTTTTCAATATTTGTCACAATGACCTTTTTTTCTTGTAGAGTTTTTATTGTTGTTGTTGAAGGAAGATAATTATGGCACATTTTTTTTTCACTGCTGCAGCTCAATGAAGGGGAAAAGTAGTAAAATGGCTTGCTATTGGAAACTCTTTGGCAGAGTACCATATGTGTTCAAAGATTTTACCAGAAAGCACCAGCAAAATGTATTTTTTCTGTTTTGAAAGTGTTTCATTGACCTACAAGTTTTCCTTGTTTTCCATTGCCATTTGCCATTGCCAGATGACCTGTGAGTTTGAAAAAGACAAAAATTTGACCAATTTCCAAATGACATTTAGCAGTAATATTTTACAGGCTTCTAAAGAGATATGTGTGACTTTTCCAATATATAAAATTCTGATAAGAAAAAAAAAAGATTTGTGTCAGTGTTAGCTATTGTTGTAGGCTGATCTAAACTACCCCCATGGTTATAGTAAATTTTGTTCTGTACCTCGCATAATTGTGACTTTAAATTGCTTAGTTGACAGTCATAAAATTAGGGTTTGGGATTTCCTATAAATATAATTTACGAACTACAAACAAACCTAGGATATAATATCCTTATACTGTTTCTAACATCAATCTGAATTTCTGATTTGAGGCACTAGAGAACAAATTTCATAACTTTCATCACTGCAGGTCAAACGTGAGAAAGTGGAACGCGACCCGAGTGCTCCTAAGAGGCCAAGCAGTGCATTCCTACAGTTTTGTCAAGACCAGAGGGAGACAACTTCAGCACAGCACCTCCAGCAGACAGGAAGGCCTGTGGATAAAAAGCAGTTGACAAAACTTCTTACTGCTAGATGGAGTTCCCTTGGGGAAGATGACAAGAAGGTAAAATAGGCAGATTATTATTTTTTTTTTAATGATCTTTCGAAATTTAATACTGAAAGTGTAATATACAAAGATGTATTAGCTTGTCAGAAGAACATTTAATAACTAGTCAGTCAAGATGAAATGAATTCTTTTCCCTTTCTTTTTCATGTTAAAGGCATTCAGAAAAGTCCATAATCATATTGCAGTAGATGTGACTCTTTGTCACAGGTGCCCTTTCCAATCAAAACTATAACAGTCTAGTTGTTTTGTCTCTTCAAATGAAACTGATATATTTCTTTTGTAATTTCACTGAGATTAAGTCAGTTACATATGATATTTAAAAAAAAAGTAATAATAACAATTATAATTAACTGTCCTTTAATGTATTTTTTACTTTCTGTTTATGCCAAAAGGAGTGACCAGAGGTAAGATGAGGAAAGGTTGGAATAGAGCAAAGGAAATGGCCTTTCACATGTATGTAGTTCCATATTCTGACTGTCATATCAGTGGGATTACATATGTTGATGTATATATTTTCCTTGCAGGTTTACATAGACAGGTTTGAGAGGGACAAAGAGCAATATTCAGAAGAGAGGCGCTTGTATGAGAGTAGGAAGATGGAATAGCACTCTGCCCCTTTTTCTTCCTCCTCCTCCTCCTCCTCTTTTTTTTACATTTGGTAAATAGGGTAAAAATAGATTGTAAGTATGGTTTCTTTGGTGAATATTTATTTCCTATATACATTCATCTACAAACACAGCTTCGTCTACACATTTTACAGTAAATGGAAGTTGAGCTGAATGAAACCTTTAATATAATGAATCAAGATGAAAACTTGTTTGAATTTTCCCCCATAAATATATATATATGATGTATACATTCCTATTGTCCAACATGAAAATGATAATTAAATGCTGAACACGCAAAGCTAAAAAGGCATAGTACAAAAAAAGGAGAAAAATATCAGAAACATTGAAAAAGGTGTAATGGAAATATTTGTTTGTTTGTTTTTAAGTACCAGTGTCCTTTCCCCCCCTACTTTTTGTAAAAATATATTGCACTTTTTATCCAGCATATAATGGATATTATAAACATGAATAAATATTTGTCTTTATTTTTTTTATTTTTTTAAATTTTTATATATTACTCCAACCTTTGCACACATTCATCTTCTGTTATATGGGCAGTAAAATGAAAAGAAAACCAATTAATTAGTTCTTGTGATATAATATGAAGCATTTCAACAATTATATAATGATGGCAAGATCAGTCTTTCTTCTGAAAATTCTTTAATATTTTTATAACAATGTATTAATGCCCATTTCAACTTCAGAGATGGATAATCAAAACAATATATTATTGTCATTGACAGTAAATGTCCGAGTAAAATCTAAACAATTCCAAAATAAAAATGGGGTACTACAACATGCAATATTTTTTCGTAAACATTTAAAAATCAAGCTAAAAATTGGAAACTCCAAATACAGAAATGAAAATTGAAGAACCATGGACTAGGTCATCATTTTAGCACAACCCACACAATGGACACTTTCTGAACACTTTTTTTCTGTCTCTCTCTCTCTTTCTCTCTCTCTACATAAAATGGCATAAATAGTGAGCAAATTTCATTCAGTACTTTCGACAGTAACAGACAGCTTATGAGTATGATGCTGAGAGAGCTGTGTAAAGATAAAAATATATGTATAACATGACTAAAGGAACAGTTTAAAAGCACACAATAGCTTTATAGTATAAAATTTACTTAGGAATGATTTGATGACCTTGAAGTGAGCAAAAAAGGTCATGGATGATTATGAAAAAAATAAATTCTTAAAAAAAAGAACAAACTTTACAGTTTCTTCCTAAAAAAAAATAATAATAATAATAATTTACAACAGCACAGAGTATTCGCTGATAATAACAAATTGCCTTTGGCTTGAATAATGACAGTACAAGGGAAGCACATTTTTTCCTTCTCGTCAAAACAGCAAACTGCACAAGCCTTGAATGCAGCCATCTGTTCAAGTCTCTTTCATAACAGACATACAGAAGAACAAAAGAATGCTTTATGTGGCAGGAATATTATCCTCTGAAAAAGAGTTGGCCCCATAATGGAGGGGAAATGAGAAAGAAGAATCTATCTACATCCTGTCCTTTTCACTTTATACACAGAAAGAACTGCAATCTGCAAGTCTGACAGGAGATGATAATACTGGGGGTTGCAGAGGAGCTCAGGAGAGGGGCTGTCATACTGGGGTCTGATTTCTAGGTGACATGGGTGCATGGCGTCCCTGGTAGAACTGAAGCAATCTCTCTACAGTTATGGCCACACGCACTGTCCCTCTCTCTTCCAAGATGTCATGTGCACTGCAGGTGTAGTCCTGTGGAAGAATATTAAATGCATAAATATACTCCCAGGCTTAAAATAAAGGGGCACTTTAATTAATTCATAGCTCTTACTCTGCCCATGGAAAAGAATTGAACCTACATCATTAAATAGGAATTCACAATTAATAATTTATTTTTTAATAAATATAAAACAAGAATTTTGCTCATCACAATAAATACTTACTTAATCTGTTAGGAATTTAATACTATTGGTGTTAGAATTACACATGTTGGTCACATTTTTTTTATTATTCATACATCACAAAGTCCATTACACTTGTTAAATATTGGTGATTACAAACTTTCTTCAATAATGACGACTATCAAATTCCTGTCCCATGAATTTCACTCTGAATTAAGATCCATTACAAGACTGTATAGGCACATCAGTCTCACTTTTAACAACTCTCCAGCTCAAAATCATGTGCAGTATATATGTATATATATATATAAGTTCTACAGAATTATGTGCACCTGGAACATGAGAGATGAATACTTAGAATTCATATAAGCAATATGACAAAAGTGTTCCTTCAAAAAAAGAAAGAAAGAAAAACATATACATCTGGTAGCAGATCCAATGAGCATAACTTCTATCCCATTAATATTCTGATAGTTACGTTATATGACTTGATCAGCCTTCAAAAATATTTAAACCCAGATTTGCACCTGCTACCAAAAATGTGAGCTACCTAGAATTTAAAAAAAAAAGTACTATTGGGTCAATAATGGATGCCAATATTGACATGAAATTTCAATTAATTTACACCTTAGAAATATTTTTGTTCAATATCATTTGGTGAAATATTCTCTGAAATGCGACACTTCACATTTTCACGAAGAAAATTAATTGAAATTTCATGTCATAGCAAAAAAGCAACCCTATTAAGTACAAAGGCATATATAATATATATGAATTGAGCCAGCTATGACTAGTGCAAGTGCCTTAACTTTGCAATGAAACGGTAAGCATTTGTTAAGCTGCATTTAATCCTTTTATAAAATCATCATTCAAATGCTATTCAGATGCTTTCAAACAAATATATACTCAAAAGAGAAAAATCATCCCTTGCATAAAGTTCATTAAATAAAATCAATCATAAGACTGTTCATCACACTTTTAATCAGTTTCTATCCACAGTGAGAGAACAGCCACCACTAAGTACACTTCAAGACACACTCGTAATGCAACTTACAGGAAGTGTCACAAGTTCTTTTCTCGGGAAGGCAAAATGTGG